TTCTCTGCAATATTAATGGTTTAATATTTTGTGTTTTTTGTTATTGTTGTTGATGCTGCTGCTGCTACTGTTGCTATTGTTCTCACGCAGCATCACGCAGCATCTCCTGTGTAAAATAGCCGGGCAACTGGCTCAACGGCACCATCCGGGTAAACAAATCACATAAACTCACGGACACGTGAGTTTATGTGATTTGTTGAGTTTATGTGCCAAGGTATCCTCTACACCGCGGCTTTAAAAGGCCTCGTTCCCCGCTAACCTACGCGCTTGTTACCGTTAAACTTTTCCTGTGGGCCAATTTATTAGCAAAAAAAAATGTTTCGTTTCATGTTGACCGAGAAGGGTGACTGCACGGGTGGCAGGGCACATTATAAACGTGGCTTTTGTGCGTCGCACACAAAGCGCCTACTTATACCGCCGCCGTTACCTGATTCTCACTGAGATTATTGCCACCAGATACTTGGGCTTTGTTGTTGTTGTTGCTGCTGCTGTTGCATATAAAGCGCACACTAACACACGAGAAGCTGCACAGCACACGAGGGGGATGGTGTAACCATCACCACACCTGGCCGTCTTTGTCCCCCCCCCCCTCACCTCCCCCACTTACTACAGCAGGTACTCTATGTATGTTGAACTTCTTTCGCACCGTACGTAGCCAACCGCGCAATTCGGAGGTGCGGGGGCGAAGGACAACAGACTAAACACAAAAATCTGTTCTAAAGAAATTCGCTTTCTCAGTAGATTCTTTCAAAGTCGTTTTAGGGCTGAGTCGACTTAGGAGAGAGACACGCCCCCGGTCAGGTTCACGTATATTCATTGTTTTGCACGGCTGGGAATTCATTTCAGGTTACTGGGTTTGAAACACAATGCATGGGGGCCACTTCCATGCCACTTCTCACATGCATGCATTATATATATACACACACTCTCTCGTATGCAATTGCCGCAGCCACCCTCTATAACGTCTGCAGGGGCAGGGGGGGATTACCAAAAGCACTCAAGCCTGATACAAAATGCATGCGAAAGACCTCACTCACGCCATCGTTTTCACAGAACGAAGTCACCGTGTCAGCGGGGCCGTGGCTCATATTTGCAAGGTTTTTAACAAATTACAGTCCTCGCCATTTATTTCACGAATGCAATTTGCTCACCGTCATGTTCCAGAAATAATACAAATTAAAATACCCCCAAGCTTCAAGCAGTTCACAAATAATAGAAGATGAAAAAACGCCCAAGAGAATATGTGGCTAACAGTGGCACGTGCGCAAAACAGAAGCAGCAGGTGATTCGTGTAAATGGTGTCTTGAAAATTAAATGACGTAAAGAGTATCGCATTGATAATTGGTTCTTTACCCTTCTATCTGGCAACAAAACTGACACCTTTTTACAAGGAGTCATGTTTGCATAGACCGCAATACCTGCAGTCATAATACAAACAAAAGAACATAACTCTGATAATGTGCACTGTCCTTGAAGTTGATTGGTCCACACCCGAGACAGCTTTCCTTAGAGCGTAGCCTCACATGGGTTGGACCAGATGATGCCAAAAGGCTCTAAGGAAAGCTGTCTCGGGTGTGGACCAATCAACTTCAAGGACAGTGCACATTATCAGAGTTATGTTCTTTTGTTTGTATTATGACTGCAGGTATTGCGGTCTATGCAAACATGACTCCTTGTAAAAAGGTGTCAGTTTTGTTGCCAGATAGAAGGGTAAAAAACCAATTATCATATTTTTACTCGGCAAATGAGGTTCCCATAGAGTATCGCATTCTTGGACACCATCATTGTCGCCAGTCATTGTCTATCAGCACTGCTGGACGAAGGCCATTCCACGTTGGCACCAACGCTCGTGGTCCCGCGATGCCACAATTCAATCTCGCTCCTGCGCATGAGCTGATTTCCTCGCCTCCATCTCTGTACTTTCGGGTGCGATCTCTTCAATGGTGGCTAGGAGATGTTAACTACCTCGCCTGGTATGCAGGAGGTCGTGGCTTCGATTCCAACCCTGACGCCTGCTGCTGCTGTATATTTGGAATGTGTCTCTTTCCCAGTGGCCGCGTGGTATTTTTCTCTGGTTTATCCCACTACTATTTAGAATCAACGTGCGTTTGACAGTATTTGGCTACTGCGATACATTTCCACATGATACGAAATTACGTCGAGTTATCATTTGTGGCCAGGTCGCTTCTGAAAAAGAGCTTAGGTAAAAAATAAAATAAATGAAAACAGCTAAATTAAATCACGACGTTTCGGGCGCAACACAAGCATCCTTCTTCAGGTTGTCCCCACCTCAAGAAGGACGCTTGTGTTGCGCCCGAAACGTCGTGATTTAATTTAGTTGTTTTCATTTATTTTATTTTTTACCTATGTGACTTTACCTAAAAAACCAAAGAGTATAATTTCTACGTAGCAGAGGGTGAAGTCACACTACTACACTACAACTACCTGCGGAATGTGTAATTCATGCAAGCAGTAAGGTTGTAACTTAGTGGGACTCTTCGATTTACGTGAGTGGCAGGGCAAGTGCGTAGCCCCAATGGCCTCCAGTAGTGGCTTTGTTTTCCACTTTGCCACTTTGCTCAAAACCCATCACTCTATTCTCAGCGAAGAGAGACACACACGCACAGTGAATGTGCGCATCGTGCTCTCACGGTGGCAGGACCGGGTCATATGAATTCCATAGGAATGGATCGTGATACTCAATCTTTTCTTAAAATATAGCATCGTGATGTTCTTCTCTGTCTCCCTCCCACTGGTCTTACGCCTCTGCTCATCAATCTCACGCTGCATGCATGCTGGACACTGACGTATTATCCCACGGTCCAACGCGAGAGGTCTGTATTACAAAACAACTTAAAAACTGCTTGGCAATTTCTATGTGAAATGTATTCAAGCAAGCAGTCGACTGTAAATAGTTAAGTCAGTTTATTTCAGGTAAGGGCCATTGAAATGCAAAAAAGCCCTCTTATCAAATGCAACCCGGCCAAAGCGGTTTGCTACACGGGAAGGGAGAGCTTACAGCGGTTTCGTGGAACAAACGCAGGGACATTTTTTTTTATAACAGGACGAATAAACAGAACAATGTACAATGGAACTCTAGCTTGCAATCCAATACAACTTTAAAAACATGAGAGTGAGAGGAACATACCTCGGGCATTTGAAATGGTCTTTAAACAGCACTATAACAATTGCGTTTTCTTCTTTTAAATAAATTTTTTTTTCAAACGTGGGATTTTCAATTTTTAGTCACAAATGGCTTTAATGATAATACTAATAAGGGTGCCTACAAGCGTGGCAGTAGCGGCCACTAAGCGATGTCCTTAATGGAGGTAAAAGGTGGCGGGGTAGAAATTATCGCGATCGGTCACCATATTCATTCGGGGAGTTATAGGCGCCGCGATGAAGGAAGTGGATGTTCGCTTCATAAATTTTGATTTAAAGCTTTCGTGACTGCAGGGATTCGTCTTATTGGTTCTTTCGGTAAAGTCACGTAGAAGGGAAATAATAAAATAATAAAAATCAAACTTAATAAAATAATTCTCACGACGTTTCGGCCACAACGCAAGCAGCCGTCCTCAGGTGAAGAGGACGGCCGAAACGTCGTGAGAATTATTTTATTATGTTTTATTTTTATTATTTTATTACTTCCCTTCTACGTGACTTTACCGAAAGAACCAAGAAGATGTTCGCTTCATAATCAAGGATTTTGGGTTAGACCGGGTAAGTATAAACGTGTCGTAACTCTCCATCACGTGACACAGCCGATAAGGGTTGTCACGGTTAGGTTTGTTCACTTAAACAAACATTACAGGCAGTGTCGGGTGGTGGAGGGTTACGACACATTTATATACTTACGCGATCTAACCCAAAACCTTTTATTATGAATAATATTGGTCGCGAAAGCCTCCTACGTGTTAGGGTGTTCGTTTGTTCGGTCGTTTTTAAAATCCGCTTGTCTTGGTGAGGGTCGCGGCAGGCAGCATGTAGAGTAGGGCGGTCCAGACCTCCCTTTCCCTGACGACAGACTCTAGCACTATACACTACACTACTACACTATACACTACTACGCTATGCACTACTACGCTATACAGTACTACGCTATACACTACACTAATATACATTACTACACTCCACTATACACTACGATACACTAAACTGATATACACTACTACACTACACTATACACCACGATACACTACACTACTATGCTATACACTACACTAATATACACTACTACTCTATACACTACGATACACTAAACTGATATACACTACTACACTATACACTAATACACTATACACTACTGTATACTACTACACTATACACTACGTTACACTCCACTGCTATACACTACTACACTACACTATATACTACTATACACAGGCTTTAGTTCTTCTGCTCTTCATAGGGAATTCCCAGGCGTTCCCAGGCCAGACGAGAGACATCGTCCCGCCAGCAGCGTGTCCTGGGGTCGCCCCAGTGATTGTTAAATAAATACACAACTGCAACGCAACACAAAAAACATGTCTTTACAATGACGAGAACAGGACTATCCGTTGATATCTTAACGTACCACTTACCGTCGGCTATTACGGGTAAAGTTTGGTACGAACATCGCAGTAGGTGGGCGAGACAATTTCAAGGGAACGTTCATGAAACTAAATCCAAATAATAATATATTCCTGTGAAGGGCAATCACGAAATAACCAAATCCTTAAAAAAATGCGCGTAATAATATATTCATATTCAGGGCAATCACTAAATAATAATGAATGCGACGTATATGAAAACGTGTGTGTGTGTGCTTGCCTGAATCACAACATTGAGTAATCTTCCCAAGGTTAATGAAAGTGGCTTGTGAGCTTAAAAAAAGAAAAAGAATGTGATGACTGTTTTGATGACTTCACATTTTTCTTTGACGTAATATATTTTTTATTTCGTCCGCCCTTCTCCGCTTCCAGAAGGTTCCGTGCAAATGTTTACCAAGATGACCGGTGCCTTTATAAAGCCGTTTCAAAACGCTCGAGTTGAGTTAGTGTCTTGAGAAACCTGACCACTGCTGAAACAGAGCCAGTCCGTTGTAGAACTTAAAAAAAAAGAAGTCTCGATATCAAAACCCTCCCATCGATCTTCGGGCATGGCAAACAGGTAAGCAGTAGCGTGATGCTGGACCGCTGTACATTTAAACGTTGAGATGTACTTACGTGTTATGTAAGTCTCTGCCGAATTAACTAATTTCGTGAAGGTGACCGCCTAATCAGTGGTCGGAGCACAGGCAAGAGGAGGTGGACAACTACCTGCAGAATGTGTAATTCAAAACGTTTGAATATTGTTGCTCGTTCTTACGTTCTTATATCAGTTTTTGTATATATATTTTAAATATGTCTTCTGATGTGAATGTTTGTACGCTCGTGAACCAACTGTGCCCGGGTAAGGTAGAAACTTGGGCATAATGTTCTAACGATAGGTGGTGCTCACCAACATTTTGGCAGATAAATGACCACGCTGCCACAATTGTCATTTGATCACGTGGCCGTTTTCCACATTAAAAAAAAAACAATTTGATGGCAGCTTCGGTGGTTCCCCAACGACAAGTGAACTAACCCCATTGTCTGGACGGGTGTTAAACTTAGCGATGCATTTAAAAACGCGAGCTTTCCCTGTACGCTGATCAGTACAGCCGCAAGCCAACCTTTAACACGGACCAGTCTGACGAATGATTTATTGTACAGCTCTTCACAGTCCTACTGTGCTCGCGAGCTGATTCTGCTTCATCATTATCATCATCTGCAATCATCTGTCCACTTCCCCCCAAAACCGCCACCATATCTCAGGGACTCACAATGCGACAACGATTCCCACTTAGCGCCCAATTCATAATAAAGGGTTTTTGGGTTAGATCGCGTAAGTATAAATGTGTCGTAACCATCCACCACCCGACACGGCCAATTAGTAATGGATTTGTCACGTAAACGACGCGCCAATTAGTTACTACTTCAGCCCACCGGTGTGTTGGAGATTACATCCACAACATTTACAATTTGAGTAGTACGACGTTTCGCTGCCAATTACATCAACCGGCATCATCGAGCGATTTGCCAGACTACAAAAACCTTTGTTACGAATAATATCGGTCGCGAAAAGCCTCTCCGTGTTAACGCCCAGTGCTCCGTCGCTCCATCTCCACGATCTTCACCTTCCACCGTGGGTCTCGGCCCGCACTCGGCGGGGTGAGATGGCAACCCGAGGGGTTCGTGTCTCATGATGACGACGACGACGATGATGATGACGAATGATCTCCATGGTGGACACCCTCGTGTGTGCGTGTGTGTGTGTGTCCTGCTTCGTGAGTTCTGTCCACCGGCCATCATCGCCACGAGCCGCGATGTGCGTCAGCCCAAGTCTAATATTGTCAACTCAACTATTTTGTTCACCGGGTAAAGCCCGCCGTGCTATTAACTCGCTTTTTAGAGGCGACCGAGCCGTACGTGATAGCTAACAGAAGTGGCTTATATCATCATCAGCAGCAGCAGCATCATGGCAGGTGGGGATTCATAGTCGGGACATTGATCCGAACGCTTGTTTCTAAATGTGGAGGGCAAATCCGGAGTTCCCGGCGAAATATCCACTCGACCACGGGGAGAGAGAAAACGCGAAATTCAAAATATACCACAGGCACCGTCAGGGTCCGGGATTGAACCTATCATCAGGCATCGTCATGGTCCGGGATTGAACCTATGCACTCCTGCGTAGCAGGCGAGGGGGGTAACGTCTGCTCACCACCAAGCGTGCACCTATTCACGCTTGTTGACACGCGCTTTTTGTCCCATTTCCTTTGCGAATATCCACGTTTCGACCGACTCAGATCGTGTTCCCCATATCAACGAAACTAGTTTAAACGATTTAAAGCTTTCGTGACTGCAGGGATCCATATGCTTGGTTCTTTCGGTAAAGTAACGTAGAAGGGAAATAATAAAATAATAATAAATAAAATATAAAATTATCACGACGTTTCGATTGTAACACAAGCAATCATCATCAGGTGTGAAAACCACAGCAAGAAAATATTTACTGCTGTGGTTTTCACACCTGATGTGGTTTTCACACCTGATGTGGTTTTCACACCTGATGATTGCTTGTGTTGCAATCGAAACGTCGTGAGAATTTTATTGTTTTATTTGTATTATTTTGTTATTTCCCTTCAACGTGACTTTACCAAAATAACCAAGCATATCGTTTCAACGAATCAACTGTTCACGTGGTAGTAAGCAAAGCGAAAGAGGCGTCATCACGTTTATTGTTAAGCGCAAATCTGTTACAAGATACATTGGGAGGTTGGCGGTGGCGATGCACGCCTGGAGTTCAGATATTACGTCTGCAGTTCAGATATTACCCAGGCAGCATTGTGCGTCAGCAGACGACCTCTGGGTCAGCGTCTTCCTGCTGGGCCTCGTCAAATGAACGCCGCTGAGTAACCCACGAGGTCGAATAGCCCAGTTCGAGTCTGTGAACACGTCCAGCCTTGTGCCATTGCTGCCCTCAAAAGCCAGCAGGCTGATTGACTATGGAAAGAATTGCGATTTGACGCGGAGAGAGGGGTGGGGGGGGGCAGCATGGACCCCCGTGTTCACGCGGTGTATTCAAATGAACCTTGTGGCGGTACCCCGGGGTGTCTTAGTACCCCGGCTCTCGCATGATGTCCGTGATGCAGTCGTTTCTAGTCTGTGGATGGTCGGCGATGCGGCAATCGACTCGTCTCGACGAGCTGTACACGATGCACTATTCACAGTTGAATTTTTCGAAAACGGATTTTGTTATGCTAAAGATTGGCGTTTCAACATCGCAGAGTGGCGCTGATTTCGCATTGATTGGTAACCCAGTCGCGGCGTGAAGTACACCCCTGGAAAAATATAGTGTCCCAGAAATAAAATATTTAATTGCCTCGGCTATTTTGTATTATTTGGTTACCACCATAAGGGTCAAATAGCCATTGGTTGCGTGGGGGGGGGGGGGCAAAGGCCTATGACTGCCCTCTGTCAGAAGAGGGCACCCAATAGCTTGCTCACGGTTTGCTGTGTTCATTACCCGCATGGGGAACAGCAGGGCCGGGAAAGGAACCGTTGCACGTAAACCCTCGCGAGTTTGGGACCGTGCATAAATGACGTCACGCACCTAGGGGTGCGGGGAGGGGCGTCCGACATTTGTGACGATGTGTGACGAGGGGAGGGGGGGGTTGAGAAATGTGACGTCACATCAAAATGTGCAACTTTAAATAAATATAGAGAACACGTTGTACTTAAATAAATATACTTTTTAATACATTCTAGATTTGAAGCTTTTGTGACTGCAAGGATTCATATTCTTAGGTTTTTTTCGGTAAAGTCACGTAGGTAAAAAATTAAAATTAATAAAAGTAAAATAATACTTTTTAATAAATGTTTTCTCCGACAACATCAGAGGGCAGCGCCACATCAAATACGCACTAAATTTACAATAGTTTAAAGCGAATTGAAGCACGTTTTATTTTTGGGGTGGGGGGGGGGATCTGACTTTTTGTGACGCCGTGTGACGAGAGGGGGGGGATCAAAAATCGTTCAAAATCGCGTGACGTCATTTATGGACGACCCCTTTCGCATATTCGCGAGTCACCCAATGTACTCCTATTCCCGATTCGCGGCTGTTGCGTCGACGTCCGCAGACCGCCGACACAACGGGGATGGCACGCGCGGCAATTGTTTTGTCCACACTCGAAACTTTCGACTGCGAAGATGAGACGGGCACGCCGCCTCGGCTGCCTTTCTGCTAAGTCCTCAGTCCCGCGGTGATCCCCGCAACCGGACTCTGCTTGCTCTGAACTTTAACCGCACTCGCGCATCTCCTGGAGGATGGGAACCTGTTTATGTATTTATTTATTATTATCAATAGTACGTGCTGGTGGCTGCAGTGACGGATGAAGCTAGTGCGGGGCCTGTAGCATGTGTTGTATTAAAGAGGCCCTAAATAATTAAAAAACACACATTTAAACACACATTTTTTTACTTGCACAGTAAAGTAATTGTATTTTTTCATTTGCTATACAGCCGAATGATACGACAAATCGCTAACCTTATACACCCAGTCGTTCATACAAATTTAAGGCGGTATAGTACTATAGTAATAGAGCAAGTGCTGAATCACTCAACCGGAGTTGATAGCTTGAAAGCATTTAGCGCGGGGCCCTTGAAAGTGTGGGGCCCGTAGCTACATGTGTAGCTACTTGTGCTACGAGGATAATCCGGCACTGGTGGTGGTGAGGGGTGGGTGGGTACGGCGTTTTGGTCAGCTCGCCGACTTTGGGGAGGCGAGGCTTCCCGTATTATGAATAATTATTATGAATAAGCTCGTGTTGTCGCATCATGTGACGCGGCCTGACATTGCGTGCGCGTGTACCACAGGGTGGTGCTGATGGCGCTGTGTGTGGGCCTCCTCCTGGTTCAGCTGGCCTCGTGCAAGCACCTGAGGTCCCTGAATCCTGGAGAAACAACCCCGCAGGACGAGAAATGCGTCGGTAAAACGAATCTCTGAGCATGTGGGCATTTTTCAAACCCTAGTTTTATGCTTCCGCTTATTCAAATGTTTTTTTTAATAAATTGATTATTAAAATGTATCTATAACATAATAATTTTTTTATGCCGAACGTCTGCTGCTGCTGTGTCTTGTGCAGCGCTTTGAGATCCTTGATGAAAAGCGAAATTTTAATGGAATTATTATTATTCTCATCTCAACCATCAAAACACCTCCAGTCGCTGACAAAAACAACGCATTCACTCCATTGGAACCTCATTTGCCAGTAAAAATATGGTAATTGTTTTTTTACCCTTCTATCTGACAACAAAACTGACACCTTTTTACAAGGAGTCATGTTTGCATAGACCACAATACCTGCAGTCATAATGCAAACAAAAAACACAACTCTGATAATGTATGCACTGTCCTTGAAGTTGATTGGTCCAATTATCAACGCATTCACTCGCACTCACTTTGTACGGCCATCATTATAACGCTGGACTACACAGACCGTGTTAAACCAGGAAAGCATCGGGGAGATTTTTCTTTTGCTTGACCATATCTCATGTCGTGGCAGCGGTGTAGATTGCTTGCTTGGGCATGCCCCCACCGCCACCCAAGGAACGAAAATATGGAGCCATCCCTCCGGTATGGGGAGTCGGCAAACCCTGCAGCTGTAGTGCCACGTGTGGGTCTTTGTCTTTCAAGGACTGCTTCGTGACGTTATTTATTAAGGAGCCCCGCCGTCTCGTACTCCACGTGGCATTGCGGCTCTTGAGATATTGACGGGGGGGTGGTGGTTGGGGAGGGGGGGTTACCGAATTCGGAAAAAAATGGCTTTTCTTGTTATTTTGGTTGCCAACCCTTGACCATGGGAGTCCAGTTTACCATGGAAGTTCAGTTTACCATGGATGTTCAGTTCACCATGGAAATTCAGTTTACCATGGAAGTTCAGTTCACCATGGAAGTTCAGTTCACCATGGAAGTTCAGTTTACCATGGGAGTTAATTTTACCATGCCAGTTCATTTTAGCATGGAAGTTCAGTTCACCATGGAAGTCCATGTTACCATGGAAGTCCATTTTACCATGGAAATTCAGTTCACCATGGAAGTTCAGTTTACCATGGATGTTCAGTTCACCATGGAAGTCCATGTTACCATGGAAGTTCAGTTTAACATGGATGTTCAGTTCACCATGGAAGTCCATGTTACCATGGAAGTTCAGTTCACCATGGAAGTTCAGTTCACCATGGAAGTTCAGTTTACCATGGAAGTTCAGTTTACCATGGAAGTTAATTTTACCATGCCAGTTCATTTTACCATGGAAGTTCAGTTCACCATGGAAGTTCAGTTCACCATGGAAGTCCATTTTACCATGGAAGTTCAGTTCACCGTGGGCAGGGGTGCGACTCCGGAGCTACCTGCGGCTCTTTAAGGAACTGCTCTTGAAATATTGAGGCTTTTTTTTCTTGGCGAATTCGAAAGAACTTAAAATGCCCCTTCTTGTTATCTTGCTTGCCGACCCCCTGCTCCAGCTTGGATGTCGCCTGCCTGCCGACTGGCCCGCCGAGTCGCCCTCGAAAGCTAAAGAGCTTCTTCGCTCTACGGGCTTTAGTCGAGAAGCAAAATTTCCGATTTTTATTCAGTCCGAATCGCCCCCTCCCCCCTTACCTCATCCTCTCCTCTTCGTAGCACTGCGGCCCGTGGGGGCCCCAGTGCAGTTGCACCGCCTGCGCACCTCAAAGTTAATTTATTAGGTATAGCCCTGTGAGCCATTCGGCTCTTGAATCGGGTGCAACCGCAACAAACAAAAAAAACATGAACAAGAAAACATCTTAAAGTGACTATGTGCAAACAGAAAATCCAAGAAAAAACAGCAAAATATTGCAGAAAAATCACCGTACACAAACCTCTCGGCAGCCACGCAGCCACGTGTCGTCTCGTGGCGGTTAGTAGTTGACAGGACACGCGAGCAGCGGCTACTCCTCTCCCGGTATTTTTGCGATGCCGCTCGCGTATTGGAGGCCTGGGGCTCCTAGGAGGCTCACAAACCCGGAGCACGACTTCGCTTGAGCGACCGCTTTCCAAAGTCTCCGATGTGATGTGATGTTACCCATCTCCCTTAACAAGAACCGGCGTTGATAAGGGAGGATATTTACGTCAAATGTCATAAATGCTTTGAACACCAAGGTATATTTAAGTTATCATCAACAACGTTCATTTCATTAACCCAGGTAATATCTACTGAGGTTCATTTCGATTTGTGGAATGTTTTTCCATTTGTGGAATGTTTTTACTCAGGAGCACTTATTTTAATTTTCACATATTGTTTTTAACAATGTAGTTTTGGGCACGTGTCATGGTCTACATGTGGGGTGTTCTGAGTTTGCAGCATTGCCTCTCCTTGTGCAATAGTGCGGCAGTGCCAATCTCGAGACAACGTCCGGCCAGCGCAAGAGAATCAAACAAGTATAACCCGTAAAAACAAAGTTTTTCACTATAAATCCTTTATATGCGTGGCGGCTAGAGTCCTCTCGTCCTCTGGCTTGAGATGGCTGCCACCTATGGGTCAGATGATTGTCTGCCAGTATTAAGCAATTGGTAATTAAATATTTAATTTGTTTTCCATAAACAGTGTAACATTTTGGAAAAAAATGTTCACGAACATTAATTGTCTCGCACAACGAGTCTGTGTGCAAAATGTCAGCTCGATTGGATCACGGGGAGTGGGTTAAAAAACGACCGAAAGGTTTGCACGGTCGTAAGCAAGCAAGCAAGCACGCAAGCAAGCGAACTTAATATAAAGGATTTAAAAACCCTCCCGCTCAGCGGTCGACCCACTTAGAATGAGCCAAAGCGACGCCTCCGCCCGTCTTACATTCACCACCAGAAGCCTTCCACGCGCGTGGGTCGGCTTTCGGCGATTTGCTTTCAAGGCGAGAGTGTGAAAAACGCGCGAACGAGAGAAGCGCAGAGGGTTACGGAGGTGAAGGGGACACGGGCAGCTTGCACCTCGTAATTATTTGTGGAGAAGCCCCTTAATTGGCAAAGGGGATGTTGGTCGTGCTCATTGTCACGCGGCCTTAAGCGGCGAGGTTGTGCGTGATGTGAGATAACAGCATCGCACCTTGTCAACAACAACAACACAAAAAAACGTTGGCTGCAACATTCTCTTTTCTGAATCATCGCGAGCGGTGCGTTCGCGTGGGTCACAATTTGCGCGTGCATTGCACACCCACGCTCCTACGTACGCACGTGAAGCAAACGCACCCTCAGGTGTGGACGAATCGTCACTCTTAAATTAGTTTAACACGTAGTAGGATTTCGCGACCAATATCATCCATAATTCTAGATTTGAAGCTTTCGTGACTGCAAGGATTCATATTCTTTGGTTTTTTCGGTAAAGTCACGTAGGTAAAAAATAAAAATTAATGAAAGTTAAATAAAAATAAAATAAAAATCACGACGTTTCGGAGGCAACACAAGCTTCCGTCTTCAGGTGGAACCGTCACAGCACGATAGCTGTATCAAGTAAGATAAACTGTTTAATTGGAATTTCTCTTTACTTGATACAGCCATCGTGCTGTGACGGTTCCACCTGAAGACGGAAGCTTGTTGCCTCAGAAACGTCGTGATTTTTATTTTATTTTACTTTTATTAATTTTAATTTTTTACCTACGTGACTTTACCGGAAAAAACCTAAGAATATCATCCATAATATTTTTTTACACGTCTTCTTGGTTCTTTCGGTAAAGTCACGTAAAAGGGAAGTAATAAAATAATAAAAATAAAACATTAGAAAATAATTCTAGTGAATTAGTGAGAATTATTTTATTATGTTTTATTTTTATTATTTTATTACTTCCCTTCTACGTGACTTTACCGAAAGAACCAAGAAGATGAATCCCTGCAGTCACGAAAGCTTTAAATCGAAATTTAATACGATGCGGGCGCAGTCTCTCGCGACGGCTCGCCGCCGTTGAACGAAATGCCGCTGCCGCGTCGTGCACTCACCTCCACCACCAACGAAGTCGTCGTCACGTGGTGACCACACGTGGCCAATCCGTGGCTGCGTCAGCGGCGCCATCGGGCGATCCGCGAAATCTGGCAGCTCGTCGGTCGTCACTGCCGTCGAAGACCTCCGCGCGAACCAATTGTTGAACGCGTGGTGGATCGCCCTCCAACAACAATAACAACAACGCTACCGGCGGCGGTGCTGGTGTGATCAATTGGGATAATGATTGGTTTTACACGCAACGGACAGCGAGTGCGTTGTAAGCTTCGATTTAAAGCTTTCGTGACTGCAGGGATTCATCTTCTTGGTTCTTTCGGTAAAGTCACGTAAAATGGAAATAATAAAATAATAAAAATAAAACATAATTAAATAATTCTCACGACGTTTCGGCCACAACGCAGGCAGCCGTTCTCAGGTGAAGAACAGGTCTGTCGGAAAGACAGCGTCTGAATGAACTGTTATTCCGACAGACCTGTTCTTCACCTGAGGACGGCTGCTTGCATTGTGGCCGAAACGTCATGAGAATTATTTTATGATGTTTCTTATTTTATTATTTCCCTTCTACGTGACTTCGCCGAAAGAACCAAGAAGATGCGTTGTAAGCGTCACGAATCGTGATGATCGCAAAATAATTATTGGCCGCGGGGGGCGCTTCAGTTGAGTGAACTGCAGTGGGAGGAATTATTCTGGACACATATTTTGTGGAAGAGCAGCAAGGCGCACCGTCGATGCGACGAAAACGCGGCTGTAAAAGTTACGGAAAACTGATACCGGGATGACCGTCATTGCGTGAAATTTGATATCATATCGTGAAAAAATGTATATCATGGCAACGCTGGTTTCAACTTAGCCATCCGGAAAATATACCTCGAGTGGTTTGCACCTCAAGCTCCCCCCCCCACCACACACATTCACAGCACAACCACGTTCAGAGAAAGAAAACAGACAAGCACAACTCAAAACACGTCAATAAAACTGTGGCCTTGAAAGGGAAAATATACAACAGGTGACGTTTCAGGCAATGGTCCTTCTTCATAGCACGTACTATATATGAGTCAGGGCCTTGATACATCACCGATTATATATATCATACGAGCAGTACACGTGCACTTTGCTATTTATTTATTTAGTTTTAAGGCCACAGTGTTGGTGACGAACGAGTTGATTTTCTGTTGTTGTTAAATGGACGCAATCACAGAAGGTGACCAACGATACACTTGGAGTGGTATTCTCTCACCCTCGAACACTCCCCTCGTACCCTGGGGCTATTATTATTATTCCCATGGCCGCCACTTACCGGCTTCACCTTCCCAGATCACTCCTCGACCGCCTGCACCAGGGTTAGGGTTCTGGCTGCACCAGGGTTGGAGACCTGTACCAGAGTTAGAGACCTGTACCAGGGTTAGAGACCTGCACCAGGGCTAGAGACCTGTACCAGGGCTAGAGACCTGTACCAGAGTTAGAGACCTGTACCAGGGTTAGAGACCTGCACCAGGGCTAGAGACCTACACCAGGGTTAGAGACCTACACCAGGGTTAGAGACCTGCCTGTACCAGGGTTAGAGACCTGCCTGTACCAGGGTTAGAGACCTGCCTGTACCAGGGTTAGAGACCTACACCAGGGCTAGAGACCTGCACCAGGGCTAGAGACCTACCTGCACCAGGGTTAGGGTCCTGGCTGTACCAGGGTTAGAGACCTGTACCAGGGTTAGAGACCTGCACCAGGGCTAGAGACCTGTACCAGGGTTAGAGACCTGCACCAGGGCTAGAGACCTGCACCAGGGCTAGAGACCTACACCAGGGTTAGAGACCTGTACCAGGGTTAGAGACCTGCCTGTACCAGGGTTAGGGTCCTGGCTGTACTAGGGCTAGAGACCTGTACCAGGGTTAGAGACCTGCACCAGGGCTAGAGACCTGCACGAGGGCTAGAGACCTGTACCAGGGCTAGAGACCTGCACCAGGGCTAGAGACCTGCACCAGGGCTTGAGACCTGCACCAGGGTTAGAGACCTGCACCAGGGCTAGAGACCTGTACCAGGGCTAGAGACCTGCACCAGGGTTAGAGGCCTGTACCAGGGCTAGAGACCTGTACCAGGGCTAGAGACATGTACCAGGGCTAGAGACCTACACCAGGGCTAGAGACCTGTACCAGGGCTAGAGACCTATACCAGGGCTAGAGACCTGCACCAGGGCTAGAGACCTGTACCAGGGCTAGAGACCTACACCAGGGCTAGAGACCTGCCTGTACCAGGGTTAGAGACCTGCCTGTACCAGGGTTAGAGAACTCCACCAGGACTAAAGACCTGTACCAGGGTTAGAGATCTACACCAGGGTTAGAGTCCTGTCTGTACCAGGGTTAGAGACCTGCACCAGGGCTAGAGACCTGCACCAGGGCTAGAGACCTGCCTGCACCAGGGCTAGAGGCCTGCACCAGGGTTAGAGGCCTGCCTGCCGCTCGTTTTGGGCAGCATCTGAGAGAGCGAAGGCCCGCGATCGTAGTTTGCCATCCGACGGTTTCGTTGTGCGGCCCACGCACACGTCTTCGGCCAGTAACGGTCACGATTTGCTTTTTATTATTATAATTATATATATTATTATCTATTTTATTATTATTATATATTTTATTATTATACTCGGAGTGCCCTGTACGCCGGCGCGTCTCAGGAGCGCTTGAGACCGCGCGCGACGAGTCACTTAGATGTCCTCTCGGGGAACATTTAGGGGGGGGGCAGCCCCTGAGTGGGGAAAGTGGCACAGCAACCTGGCCTGCGATCGGGCATGAGCCTGCCAGTAGGGAAGGCGGGCGGGTGGCAGGTGGTGGGGTGGCAATGATTGCCATATGTGTAATCCCAAACGAGTACATTGATGGGTCGAAATTTTATTTTGAATTTGGCACGTTTTGAGCGTGGAGACGGCCGCGCAATGGAACTGCTCGTTTCCAATGACATCGGGGCGGATGGGGGGGGGAGGCAAGGAAGATCTTCAAACGTCCACTGTGAAGCAAACAGTGCGGTGTTGTGGGCCTACGCAACGCGCGGTATTAACTGGGTGAGCCACCGGGGTTTGAGCCGCGCGATTTCGCCTCGCCAGTGTTCAACGTAACGACCCCGAAATGTCAAACTGAGCGCTCTGTCTGGTCTGTGTTCGTTTAAAAAAAAATGTGTTGATGATGAATAATGGCAGGTGTGGTGGCGCACGTCTGCAATAGGGTGATTTTGGCAAAGTTTGGTGGATAGCAGAGATTGGTAGAAGGGCCTCTGGCACTGTAGAGAGCTCTCCGGAAAAATCTCCTCTCGAATGTACGTTTTGGCCTACTCTTCCACGCAGGCCAGACATCTTGGAAGAGGTAGGTAAATAAATGGAATTGTTGTTGTTGCTGTTGTCATTACGATAAACAAATACGTATGTAAAATAAACAAAGACGGTTCTATTTAAGACCGGGAGCAAGTGAGAGCTTCACCATTCTGGCAAATTGTCCGATGATAATGGATGTAATTACCAGCGAAACGTCGTACTCAAAAAATGTAAATGTTGTTGATTCACTCTTCAACACACCGGTGGGCTAAAGTAGTGAACTATTTGTCTTTTGTCAACGTGACACTTTTGATTGGCCGTGTCGGGTGGTGGAGAGTTGCGACACATTTATAAATAACGCGATCTAACCCAAAAACGTTTAATATGAATAATATTGGTCGCGAAAGCCTACGTGTTAAACTGAATATCAAAGTATTGAAAAGATAAAAATGGGTTTTACCTTTTCTGCCAATAAAACAGGAGGTGTTAAAATGTTCAAACACCAAATAGAAATCAAGGTATGGCATTATCTGGTCTGACACTGGTGAGACTAGGCCCTAAATAAGTCTCTGGGACAGGCCCAATCAGTTTCAAAGACAATATATATTATCAGTGCATTTTTGCTTGCATGTTCACCACATATACTGCGTGTGGTCAATGCGGACTTGATTCGTTGCTAAAGGTTTCTATTTGGGGGTTGAATATCTTCCTAACACCTGTTTTATTTCCAGAAAGGGTAAATAAGGTTTTGTTAACAGACGCGTATACGATTCTCTGCGGGTCTTTCCAATGGAAAAAAACAAACAAACCCACTCGTGTTTTGTGCAGATGAAGGTTGCCTGGGCTCCCATGGCCTCCCCGGAAATCATGAGGATGAACACGATTCCAGCCATTCGAGCCATTCCAGTGATTCAAGCGATTCTAGCGATTCCAGTGATTCAAGCAGCAGCAGCAGCAGCAGCTCAGGCAATTCGGGTCAGTATAACCGGCGCTTAATTTCGAACCCAGAACAGTTCGGAACGCTGTTCCGGGAATTATGTTTGGCATGCGCGCCGCGTCCATCTCGCCCGATTGAGTCCTCGTGATACCAAGGTTGCCTTCGTGCGGTGGGGTGCATGCGGTTGTGGTGTGTGTGTGTAGCGGTGGTGTGTGTGTGGCGGTGGTGGTGTGCGTGCGGTTGTGTGCATGTGTCTGTGGTGTGTGCGTGCGGTTGTGTGCATGTGTCTGTGGTGTGTGCGTGTGGCGGTGGTGTGCGTGTAACGGCGTGCGTGCAGTGTGCGTGCGTCCGTCGGCGTCTGCTCGTAGAATCGCATTAATGTAGAGTAGGATAATATATAGGACTATTACAAATAGGCATACCGCAGCACTCTAGTGGCAGTGCCTTATGCCGGTAGTCTCCTCCTGCTAAGCCAGCCGAGAAAAGTTCCCGGAGATTATCGAGTGAGACGTTAAGCCCTGGGCAATACTGCAGGCTCGCTTCACCGTGCCGCTCACGTTCTGGGATGTTTGTCAAAAGTGATGTCCCTTAACGCGCAGCTGGGGTTCAGGGTTGTGAGTTACCGTGGGGTCGGGGTCGGAGGTGGGGGGGAGGGGGCAGATTGTGAAGGCTACGCTGGGAAATTCCCACCTTAATTTAAAACCAAACTATTTTTTATTTTACCAGGAAACGCCCCACTGAGCGGTACAGCTCTTTTTCAGAAGCGGCCTGGCCATCACAAATGATTGCTCAACGAAGACGCATAGTATCATCACGTGGACATTTATTGCAGCCAAATACTCTGAACGCGTGATGTTGATTCTGAACGTGGAGGGGAAAATCCGGAGGACTCGGAGAAATTCCACCCGGACCACGGGGAGAGCGAGAGAGACAGGCAAACTCCAAATATACAGCAGGCGCCAGGGTCGGGATCGAATCCGCGACCTCATGTATACCAGTTTATTTGGGACCTTCAAAACTAAACTATAAATTAAACTAAACCACGATTTGAAGCTTTCGTGACTGCAGGGATTCATCTTCTTGGTTCTTTCGGTAAAGTCACATAGAAGGGAAATAATAAAATAATAAAAATAAAACATAATAAAATAATTCTCACGACGTTTCGGCCACAACGCAAGCAGAAGACCAGGTCTGTCGGGGAGACAGCGTCTGAATGAATTCATTCAGACACCTGAGGACGGCTGCTTGCGTTGTGGCCGAAAAGTCGTGAGAATTATTTTATTATGTACATTTTTATTATTTTATTATTTCCCTTCTACGTGACTTTACCGAAAAAACCAAGAAGATAAACTAAACCATTTTTTTATTTTACTAGGTAAGGCTCAATGAGTTGTACAGTTCTTTCTCAGGAGCGGCCTGGCCACGAATGATAGCTCCACGAAGTGGTTCATCACCATCGCGTGGGAAATTATAGCAGCAGTCAAATACTCTAAATGCATGATTATAAATTTGGAGGGAAAAACCGGAGGACCCGGAGAAAAATCCACACGACCACGGGGAGAGAGAGACACCGCAAACTCCAAATATACAGCAGGCATCAGCGTCGGGATCGAACCCACGACCTACTGAATACCAGACGAGGTAGTTAACATCTCCTAGCCACCGTGATGATGATGAGAGAGACACGCAAACTCCAAATATACAGCAGCAGGCATCGTCAGGGTCGATCCCGACCCTGACGATGCCCATCGTCGATGGGCATTACAGGAGCGAAACAGCTACCGTGCATTGTTCTGTTGACAATGGGGGCAAGGGTCATTTTGCGATGGGGTGGGGGGGAGGAGTGTAGCCATCGTATTTTGTTGGGTTTTTTAGCTTTCAAAACTTCCGTTGACATCACGATTTGCCCTATTGACACTGAGAGCTGTGGGATTTCCAAAGTCGTAAACTCCTACACGCCGTCGTGTGTCGCTGTCACCTGACAGGTGACGACAAGGCCCCCCACCCACCCCCCCCGTTATGTAACCACTGAACAATACTTGATTATTGAGGTGGCATTGATCAAGTTGTTTCCTTTTCGATTATCAGCTAACTCCGGGGGCAACGGCCTTAATGGGTTAAGTTCGAAGCTAGATTGTACAACGTGGTTTTTTTATTCGTTGATGGTCGATGGGTCACACACGCTGGGCTACTCCAAGGGTCACTACTTTTAAGGAATAACAAAAACAAAACTGGTAGCGATATTGGGAAGAAGCAGAAGAAGATCTCAAAGATCTCAAAAAGTACCACACATCGTCTCGGATGTAGCTTTGTTTACAAAGAGCGGGCAATGACCGTGGTCGATCGCTGCCCCCCAGGGACGACTTGAACAGATTTCCCCAAAGACACCAGCAGCCGCCCTCCTCCTCCTCCTCGAAAGCGAAAACGGTCCCGGGAAAAAAAAACGGGGCAGGTGGCGAACCCAGTTGTACAGGGCCGTGGATAAGATGCACTTTAGTGTGGTGATGATATTGTGTTACGAACTCAGCGACATGAGTTGAACTCCTGGTCACGGCTAACAACATTGGCAAGTGATATTATTGTGTCCGTCCGTCGTGCATCCAAAAATGGGAGGGGTGGGGCTGGGTGGAGAGGAGAGGGTGGGGAGGGGCTGGGTGAGGAGGGGCTGGGTGGGGAGGGTGGGGCTGGGTGGGGGTGGGGCTGGGTGGGGAGGGGAGGGGCAGGTCACCCCGTGGTGCCCTTATAAAACTCAACGTTTAACCTACTCACGCCGGCTTGTACCCGCCCTCACAGTCGGGCATATTTGCGGAATACACCACGCCGCCGTTGACCCTGGCCATTGACCGAGCAACCCAACGTTCCTACCAGCTCCCTCCGCAGGAATGTGTTATTGGTGTGGTCTGGGACTGTTTTGTTGTTGACTTCGCTGCCTTGCCCAAGCATGATGAATCCAACTCACGTAATTGATCTAATTGTTTTGATACTTAGTAACTTGCAAACCATGTTGCACCACTGTCGTTGTTTTTTGTCTTTCTCGCTGTTGTAACTCGCTGACCACGTGCCCCTACTGGAGACATCTGTGACAAAAAGAGCTTCATAGCTTATCGGATTCCCGAAATCAAGATTCTGATTATGAATGACAAAGCGCTGTACATTATTATCGTCATCATCATTATCATTAGTGTCTATACATTCCAGTTCACAGTTAATCTAAGAGGTTATTTCAATCAATGCCTCGTGGTGTTCTCATCCTCACGTGGTGTCACAGGCGGGGCCAGAGAGCGGAGAGCGGTGCACGTGGAGTCGGAAGAGACCGGCGTGGACAGTGTGGACACTGGTAAAGGGGTCGTCCATAAATGACGTCACGCACCTAGGGCGGGGGGCGGGGTCAGACATTTGTGACGATGTGTGACGAGGGGGGGGGGGTTGAGAAATGTGACGTTACATCAAAATGCGCAACTTTAAATAAATATAGACAACACGCTCTACTTAATTAAATATACTTTTAAATAAATGTTTTTTCCTACAACATCAGAGTGCAGCGCCACATTAAATACGCACTACAATGACAATAGTTTAAAGCGATTTGAAGCATGTTTTATTTGGGGGGGGGGGCGGATCTTTGTGACGTCATATTTGAGGGGGGGGTCTGACTTTTTGTGACGCCGTGTGACGAGGGGGGGAGGTCAAAAATCGTCCAAAATTGCGTGACGTCATTTATGGACGGCCCCAAAGTCAAATAACATTTTAAACGTATGAAAAAACAAGAATAGGTTGATGCCCTTTCCGACAATGAAAACGGGTGTTAAGATGCTCAAGCGCCAAATAGATACCTTTAACAGCCGTTTTATGGCCAGAAAGGATAAAACCCTATTCATATATTTTTGCATACTTTGATTCTGGCCAAAAAATGTCCCGTAAATATTTTAAACGCGAACAACAACATTCCCCCCCGCACACGTTTTTTGTTGTCATCTGACAAACACGGTGAAAGTTTTACGAAGTCCCTGCGTACGCCTCCGTGTCCACCCCACAGTACGAATGGGTGTGCAACGCCACGGTTAAATCTATCGAACGGCGAGCACTCCGTCGCCTCTTCTGAGACGTCTGGCCTGCGTGGAAGAGTAGGCCAAGGGCGTCTGTGTAGGTCCCTCCGGGGGAGGGCCCCTACCACCACCGGTGGCCTGAGTTGAGCAATCACGACTTTTATTTTGCCTTTGGGAGGTGGTGTAGGGGACAGTTTGTATGTACGTATGTGTGTTGAACTTCTTTCACACCGTACCTAGCCAACCGTGCTAATCGGAAGTGGGTTGGAAGGACAACAAACTAAACACCCAAAAAGCAGTTCGAAAGAAATTCGATTTTAATCTCGATTTAAAAGCGCACAGCACCAGTGGATTCCGAATATCGGAAGAAAGGAGCGTTCCAGACGGCCGCAGAAGCGCGTCTGAAAGCGCCGCGCGACGATGCGGTGACCGCCGACTTTGCTCCGACGGCTGAGCCAACAGCCGCTGGGAGGATAACCGCAGTTCGCGTGATGATGGTTTACAGCTCATTGACGAGATCGGCGGCGAGGTGTCTCGTGGAGGATTTCTTTGCCAACGTGTCCCGGCGTGAACTTGCACGTCCCCCTCTCGTTTAGGACTCTCTGTGGAGAGTGTCGAGCTGACGCTCGTTGGGATGGACGCGATGAACGGGCAGCAGCTTCCCCACGGAGGTGAGTCTCCAGCGGCGTCTCTCTCCCGCCGTGCCGTTCGCCGGCGTCTCGTCGCGGTGTGGTACTGCTCATCGTTCGGCACGATGTCCGACGTTTCGCTCCAACCGTGGGGAGCTACTTGAAGAGTTGAAAACACGGCACAACCGGAAATCACGACTTGACACAGGGTCGATTTTGCACACGTGATCTGTGCATTTTTGGATTGTCTCTCTAAGGCAGGGGTGGGGAACGTCCGGCCCGTGGGTTGTATAAGGGCCGCGAAATCATTTGGTGTGGTCCTGCCAAGGCAACCGCAGGCGGGACTCGAAATTCAATAAATCTAGGAGCAAACCTGGAAAAGCAGTTGCGAGTAGCAACATCATCAATACCAGCTAACATCACACGCCTCACCAAAGAGAAGCCGTTCCAGTCATCACATTAGTGGTGAGTTAATTAAATGTTTGACCAAATATAACAGGCTAATTTTAAAGTTGATCATTTCGTATGGCCCACGAATGATGTTTTCAATATCCAAATGGCCCTTGGCAGAAAAAAGGTTCCCCACCCCTGCTCTAAGGGTTTACGATCGACAATGACAATGAAAAAACCCAAAATACTTATTTTTGAAATGACTGTTGTAAAATGCAGATTTTTTTTTTTATTAACCCGCCACGTGTGCTTCATTCACACAAGGGTGCGGGCGGGCGGGCGTGGGGTTTTAACGACGCATTCATATTTACGCGATCTAACTCAACAAAAAAAACACCACTCGATTACGACCAAGCTGAGTGTGAACGCCGGTCATTGACACCGCGACCAAAGCAACGCTGTCATCTCACGATAGAGTGCACGACTACCATCGGAGTCAGTGACGCAGAGCACACGAGGGGGTGAGGGTGAAGGGGGTGAACCGGCGGTCACACGGCTCGCCACCCCCACAACCCCCTTGCTGCCTGACCTGCCACGGACGCCCCACTGCCCCTTACTCTGACTCACTTTTAGAAATGTAATTATGTATTTCTCTAGGAAAGTTTGCAAGGACTCTTTACCTGAGCAGGGTCCTGCGTTGGGGTTTGAATTGCTTGTAAAATAATTATAATGATGATGATTTCAAGACGATGAGTGTTTATACTAAACTACTATGTTTAGTCTAGCAGGTAAGGCCCATTGAGTAATATGTAGTTATTTTTCAGAAGCGACCTGCCTTTCGCAGCAAACGATAGCTCAACGAAGCGGCTTATCACGTGGAAATTTATAGCAGCCAAATAACTCTAAAACGCGTGACGTTGGTTCTAAATGTGGAGGGGAAAACCAGAGGACCCGGAGAACAATCCACGTGACCACGTGGAGAACGTGCAAACTCCAAATATACAAGCGGCAGGGTCGGCATCAACCCCACGACCTCCTGTGTAGCAGGCGAGGTAGTTAACATCTCACCACCGTGGCGCCGAATGTGATTCCTGGTCATGGATGGATGAAGAGCTGTAAATGATACTGGTAGGAACCATCTGTTTCCACCAGCCCATAGGGGATTATTGTGTCCGTCCGTCCGTCGTGCATCCAAAAATGGGAGGGGTCGGGCTCGGTGGGGAGGGTGGGGAAGGGCTGGGTGGGGAGGGTCTTGAGGGGCTGGGTGGGGAGGAGAAGGTGGGGAGGGGCTGGGTGGGGATGGTGAGGCTGGGTGGGGGGTGGGAGGGGTGGGGCTGGGTGGGGAGGGGCTGGTCACCCCGTGGTGCCCTTATAAAACTCAACGTTTAACCTACTCACGCCGGCTTGTACCCGCCCTCACAGTCGGCCATATTTGCGGAATACACCACGCCGCCGTTGAACCTGGCCATTGACCGAGCAACCCAACGTTCCTACCAGCTCCCTCCGCAGGAATGTGTTTAATTATTGTATGATCAGCTCATCAGCATTAAATGGATTTAACCAGTTGAGAGTGCATTGAGGTATGTGTATGTATCGTTACTTGTTTATATTCTATGGTTCTTTCGGTAAAGTCACGTAGATAGAAGAAATAATAACAATAAAATAATAAAAATGAAAATAAAGTGAATAAAAAATAATACAAATATCACGACCGCTTGTGTTGCGATCGAAACGTCGTGATATTTGTATTATTGTTATTCCTGCAGTTTGCATAGGCTGCCTATTATGGGTACCGGCACACTATGCCTCGCCGCAACTTATCTCCCGGTTGACAAAGTTATCGCGTCGTGCCAGGCAACTCAATGTTAGGCAACTCGGAGGGAAAGTTCAGCTCACATTCAGACTCTCCGTCTGTTGCATTGCTGAAGTGCATGGCCAGGATTCGAACCCAGGCTCTCGTGACGAATTGGCGACACACGGTAACGACCATGCCACTGCTGTTTGATATCCCGCGTAATAATAACACTGGTCAACAAAAAAAAAAACATTTTGTTCTGGCCTGGATTTTTGCAGCTGTTTTGGACTAATTTCAGGGTGCTGATTCCAAATCTGATCTCAGATTCGCTCTATCACATCTCATTTTTATGCTATCGGCATACCCAATTTTCATTGATTTTACCCGAAATTAACTCTGTCACTTATGATTGCAAGTTGTTGCAAGTCAGTGACTGCTTTAGTGTTAAAATATGGTGCTGTATTTTTAGGATAGTGTGTTTATATTATAATTTTATGTAGATATCCACATTTATTTAATATTTTTCTTCTGCAGTTTTTATTGAAAATGCAATATTTGATATCTAAAAAACTTGATGTGATAGACAAAAACTGATGCCAGATTTAGAATCAGCACCCCAAAATTTCCTTAAAACCGTTGGAATACCTTATGCCAGAAAAAGTGTGGTGACCAGTGTAATAATACATACACAAACAAAGACAAAGATCCCCCGTATAGCCTTAACAGACTGTAGGGGCAAGTGCTGTTAGCGTGTACCTATGAAGGCCGGCACGCCACACGAGGAGGTGGGTGACCAACACCACGCCCGGCCGCCTTTGTCTCCCTAGTGGCGTTGTTTACACATCGCACCAGGTACTTATTTGAGGCTGAGTCGACCTAGGGGAGGCCCAGGACCGGTTCAGATAATCGTCACTGATGTTGGCCGTGAGCGGAAATCGAACTCCGTTTGATGGGTTCGTCGCGCTTAAACAAAAAACTAGTTTTTTTGTTTATGCCGTGAGCGGGAATCGAACCCTGGTCGCCAGGTTTGTAGCACAGCGTAGCGCTAACCGCTACACTACACGTACATGCACACACACACACGCAAACCGTCCACTTATACTTTGGGAAATGCACGTGCACTCTCACTTTATCTCTCTCTCTGATAAACCACTCAATCACGTTGGCTCACTTTTGTATTGCAGGTAATATGTAACGACCCGCTAACAACTCTTAAAGGTGAGACATTGCATTAGGTCCCCTGAGCAATCCATTATACTCCGGGCTGGCACTCCACCCTTGAAATTAAATGTGATTCTATCCTTAACACAAATCATAACCGACGCCTACGATTTAACTCCCAGCCAAAAGGTGAACTGTTCGACGCAACAGCTGTTGACACCCGCAGTTGTAATGATGCCGTATTCTCTGGAGTATGAGTCGCACTATGTTACCCCCCCCCCCTTTTAACGTTAAGCAAACGTTGCGGTTGAGTCTTATAATCCGGTAGCTGTGTACACGCGTGCGTGCGCGTGCGTGCGTGCGCGTGCGTGCGTGCGCGTAACTTTTGCTGACACTGGGCACAAGTCTAGGGTGCGTTTGATTATCCGTAGTGCCTTATCATCTGGAGAATACAGTCACAGACATTGTGCAATGTCACGCAACCCGCAGCTACAGCAATGAGAAGCTGCAGCTGACCATCTACAGCTGACCAAATCAATACTTGCCCTAAAAAACACTGCTCCCAATTGCCTCTGTTGCGCAATTAATACGCGCGACCTCATGAGAGTCAAAGTGATTTCACTGCTCAACCGTGCATCGGTGGTGGTGCACGTCTCCTGTTTACAGCCTTGAGCCAGTGGTGGAAATTCCACATTCCTATGACAGGGGGTGGGGGGAGGGGTAAGTCTACCCATAGGACAACCACTGTTGACTTCCCTTCAAAGTGGTACCTATTTTGTTATCATCAACCCTCGAGGGATGATGGGCTGAGTCGACCCCCCAACAAGGTTTTGAACTCGCTCATTACCGCTGAGACGTTGTATTTACCAATGACTAAATTACCCAGAATGCACCCAATTGTCGCCAGACCTCAGAAGCGAAGCAGCGTTGAGGCCGGGTGATCACGGTACTCAACATCGGTTGCCATGGCGCTGCAGAGCTACTTGATGGGCAGCACAGTAAAATCAATTGTTGTACTGCACTTCTAAGCTGCCACGTCTACACCATTCGCCTTCACGAACCGCACGCACCAGCGCGGTGAAGTATGGTCAACAGGCCCTCACGAGCAGTGGATTGACAACGTGGCTGTAAATTCCTCTCCATCATCATCATCAGCGGTGAACAATCCACTGCAGGATGAATGCCTACCCCTAAGCTGTCACCATCTCTCACAGTGCGGCCATACTGTTACAATCACACGTAGAATCAGCTGCGCATGGGCCGATTCGATTCGGATATTTTTTTAATTGGTGCGTGTGATTGGCAGATAAAATATGTGTGCCGTGGATGTTTGGTTGAGATCTCTTTTTTGTTGTTGTTGTTGTTTCGTTTACCCTCAGGATCACGCATTGAACGACGACTCGGCCGGACAATCTCAGAGAGACAAATGCTTCTTTTTAAAATGAATTATCACGCAGTTGTTGCAAAAGTGGGGCCTACTGGCTGACGCGTGCCAAAGGGAATGGAATCGGCGAATGAATGACACTCGTGAACGAACGACATGACGCTTCGACTTCGTCCAGGCGCTCGTAGAGTCTACGATGAAGAGTTGGCAAATCGTGTGTAAGGATGTGGCCCAAATTTCATTTAAACAAAGCAAAATAATTGCACGCAAATGCAATCGCTGCTGCTATGCATGCTTCCCCGCAAAATTAATGAGTGAAATTGGCTTCGTTAAATAAAGTTCCGTATGTGGAAATATATTTACATATTTTAAACAAAAACTCAACATCGGCGCCTGTATTAAGTCTAAGTGTCTGTATATTGGGGGAGTGAATGGCTGTTTAAATTAACGATCACACAACGCAACGTTTGCAACAACCGACTTCCACGATACATTATTTCGCCTTTAACCTTTGTTTTGTTAGGAATAAAGTACACTGTGTATGTTGAAAAGTGATATGTGACAGTCCACACGAGCCTAGAGTGGACATCTCACCATCAATGACCACCCGGGCTGGCATAACTTGCCTGGTTCCATCTTCGATACGTGGCCAATAGCAGTGACGCGCGTGATAAGTGAAAGCACTTGAAATGATGATTGGGTTATCAAATCATTCTACCTATAATTCAACTGAAACTACTACGTGTGTGCGTATGTTGAACTTCTTTCGCACCATACGTAGCCAACCGCGCTAATCGGAGGTGCCCCGGGGGAAGGACAACAAACTAAACGGCAAAAAATTAACCCGTAAAAACAAAGTTTTTCACTATAAATCCTTTATATGCGTGGCGGCTAGAGTCCTCTCGTCCTCTGGCTTGAGATGGCTGCCACCTATGGGTCAGATGATTGCCTGCCACCATTAAGCAATTGGTAATTAAATATAAAAAAAAAATCCTAAAATGTTTAAAATTTGGGAAAAAAATTTCACGAAAATAAATTGTCACGCACAACGAGTCTGTGTGCAAAATGTCAGCTCGATTGGATCACGGGAAGTGGGTTAAAAAACGACCGAAAGATTTGCACGGTCGTAAGCGCGCAAGCAAGCAAGCAAGTGAACTTAATATAAAGGATTTAAAAAGCAGTTCTTACGAAACGATTGTTGCTATCTTAGGCGCTACCAATTTTTGCTCTGACCCATGGACTTTAAGTGGGCAGGGATTCAGTTTTTTTTATGAAGCAAACGCATAAATGTCACCGCCAACAATCACGTGGATTGTTGGTGCGGTTGAGTGCTTCAGCGAACTGATATTTCACCCGCTCCATAAGAGGAGAAACGGCTTCCCGTGTGTAAACGAGATGCCCGCTCTCATCCCTCTCAGTCACTGCAACACAAACAACAGCTGGGGTACATTCAGCTTCCTCACTTTCATTTGATTCGTCCCAGCTGCACGACCCAGTCTAACTCGCGTGCCGCGGTGGCGAGATGTTAACTGCCTCGCCTGGTATACAGGAGTAGGCCTCGGCAAGGTAAGGTAAAAGTGTAAAACAACGAGCCTACCTTTACCCTACCTTTTACCTTACCACAATACAATCACTCTACCCTACCTTTGACCCTTTAGCAGGTAAGGTAAAAGTGTAAAAGCAACGAGTCTACCTTTTACCCTACCCTTTACCCTTACCCCTTGGCATGTCGACACCTTTACCTTTACCCTTTTACCCGGTAAAAAAGGGTGCATTACCTTACCTTGCCGAGGCCTATACAGGAGGTCGTGGGTTTGATACCAACCCTGACAGCTGCTGCTGTATATTTAGAATTTTCATGTTCTCCCCGTGGTCGAGTGGATTTTTCTCTGGGTCCTCCGTTTTTTTTCCGCCTCCACATTTCGAAACGTGCGTTTTGAGCATTTGTCCGCTTTAAATTTCCGCATGATAAGAGCACTTCATCGGGCTATCATTTGTGGCCAGTTCGCTTCGGAAAACGAGCTCTATAGCTACAGTGGACCTTACCTGGTAACATAAATAAAAACAAGTCGTTTGTAGTTTCTCACAATAAAATCCACGCGTTTGACCGCCGATTTCTACGGCTGACGGATCGCCGTCGCATGTGGGTATGGTTGTAAAGATCAGTGGAGAGGAGATGGAGGTCTGTGGGTCCCTCGCTGAGAGTAATGATCCATCGTGGCATCTGTCTCCCGTCTTCAGGGGCTCCCTGATCCGCTTATTTCCTTGCGAGGCCCGCGGGCCACTGGTGGGTCTTGTTGGCCTTTAGTGTGGCCCTCGACAATCCACAAATGGTGTCAAACCCCAGTGGTTTCAGAGGCGTGGCGGGCCTCACGCCTGGTGATGTCTTATCGGTGAAAGTCGCCTCCCTCTGGAAATTAGTGAAGAACGCTGCGCTAATCCATCTTTCTCTCTCTCTCTCTTCCGTTGTTGCTGATGGGACATTTGAGATAAAACAACGCCCATGATTTAGCGTCAAATTTGAGAGTGTACGACGTTTCCTAGATGGCAAAGGTTAGGGTGAAATATGATCTGGTCAAAAAAGTTCACGGAAACACTCGCAATGTTGATTAATTGCCGATGACATTCAATCATAGATATATATAACTGCTTAACTTAACTCATGGAGTATTTTGCCGGGGCTCTCCATCCACCACTCCACCCCCAGAATTTTCACCTCCCCCCCCCCCCAACCAGTCACCCACCCCCAAGCCCCTCATTCCCAACAGGCGGCAGTGCAGAAGTAATTTTCTGGAGCTCAGCACTGGACAGCTCCGGCCGAAATTCATCCCTGATGTACCATGCTCAAGTTCAAGTTCATGTGTTAGGTGTAGCCCTGTGAGCCATTCGGCTCTTGAATCGGGTGCAACCGCAACAAACAAAAACATGAACAAAAAAACATCTTAAAGTGAATATGTGACTGAGTGCAAACAGAAAATCCACAAGGGGGGGGGGGGGCACCCTTCAGAAATGTTTGTGACGTGAAAACGGTCGCGCACACTCGCCTGAATGTGCCACTTTAATTTCCAACAACACCCAATTGTCAGTTCGCAATTTGTTGCAGTGCATTCTGAAGGACATAACCGCCGTTTCGCTACGAGGCCTTTGTTTCAACCCGGATCAATCTAGATTTGAAGTTTTCGCGACTGCAGGGATCCATACATACTCTTTGGTTCTTTCGGTAAAGTCACGTAGGTATAAAATAAATAAAATCGTGACATTTTGATCGCAACACAAGAAATCGTCATCAGGTGGTAAACCCACAGCAATATTTTTTTTGCTAAAGTGACTTTACCGAAAGAACCAAAGAGTACCATTGGTACCTCATTTGACAGTAAAAAAATATGATAATTGTTTTTTTACCCTTTTATCTGGCACCAAAACTGACACCTTTTTCAGAGTTATGTTTTTTCTTTGCATTATGACTGCAGGTATTGTGGTCTATGCAAACATGACTCCTCATTAAAAAGGTGTCAGTTTTGTTGCCAGATAGAAGGGTAAAAAAACAATTATCAACCAAAGAGTATTCAACCGGATCGTTTAAATCAAACGCTTTGACAATTGCAACCGCAACAACAACAACAAAACAACACGCGGAAAGACAACGGCTTTATTACGTTTCGTAAGATTGAAGAACATCTGTGAGTTTAATTTGTTCTCATTCCTGCCTCTACTCTAAGATGCCCCCTTTGCAATTGTGCACCGTGCTCCCTCTAGCTTTGATTATAATAAAGCTACAACTGTGATTGCATCATCGTGAGGTTGCGCTGTGATTCTTCAACTGGGCGGCAACCGCTAGCGCCGCACGTCGTCCGGGCACCATGTCCGACGTTTCGTTCCAGCAAGCGAGCTCAGACTCAGTTGCGGCTCGCAAGCGGCTCACAAACGGCGGGGCAGGGCGACACAATGACAGTGGCTGCTATTTTATTGCACGCAAACGACTGGCGGTACAATAACAATGTGCATACATAATGTTCGTTGATTACCAGATGAATAACTCAACCGGCAATGGATACCAATTGCAATTTATTTGTATTCATTAATCCCACCCCTTCGCACGTGAAGGGCTCACAAGTGACGTCATCACATTTACCCCTCTATTCAAGGAACGAAACGGGAGGATTTCTCCACAAACCTGGCTGTCCGCCTGATGATGCCCGTTGTAATTACTGGCGAAACGTCGTTACTCAGATTGCAAATGTTGTGGCTTGGCTCTCCAACATACCGGTTAGTGCTGTACTAGTAACGAATTGGCCACGTTCTGTTTACGTGACAAACCTTACTAGTTGGCTGTGTCGGGTGGTGGCGGGTTTAACGACACATTTAATTATTTACGCGATCTAACCCAAAAAACTATTTCATGGATGATATTGGTAGTGAAAGACTACCACTACGACGTGTTAAACCGACACAGTTCAACCTTAGGACTATCGCACCTGCTCAGTTGGCTACGTACGGTGCAAAAGAAGTCCAACATAGTACATACATCAATGGCAACATTGGTTTTGTCTCTAAACGTCTGAGCTCGCCGGCGTCAGGAACCCGCACCGACCGGCGTGGTGAAGTATGGTCAAAATACCCCCCCACCCCGTGAAACGGAACGGTGTGGTGGTGAGGCCCTCACATCCTGCGGTGGAGTAACAAATAATACAACGAAAACACGCGTTTCTCTCGCACGTTTAACCAGGTGCATTTAAATGAATGAATCGACAGGCAAAGGTGCAACCCTGCAATTTCTCGCTAACGCCCCTGCTGGCGGAAGGGGCCTCTACAGAGCCCATGTAAACGGTACTTTGACCTGCTCTTCTACACAGACGTCTTGGCAGAGGTGGGATCAGACACGGTGTGTTCCAATTGCGAACGTCCTGCAAATGGGTTAAACGCGGTTGGATCCCATTCAGAGATGAGAGACGAGACTGAGTCGAAGGGAAAGTAGCTGCATATGTATTCTTAGTTTTTTTCGGTAAAGTCACGTAGGTAAAAAAACACTTGATACAGCTATCGTGCTGTGACGGTTCCACCTGAATACGGAAGCCTGTGTTGCCTCCGAAACGTCGTGATTTTTATTTTATTTTTATTTTACTTTTATTAATTTTAATTTTTTACCTACGTGACTTTACCGAAAAAACCTAAGCATATGAATCCTTGCAGTCACGAAAGCTTCAAATACAAAATTAGCTGCATATGCTTCTGGCCCCGAACTTGCAAGGGCTCCGCGCTAAATGCTTTCAAGCTATAAATTCCGGTTCAGTGATTCTGCACTTGCTCTATTACTATAGTACTATACTGCCTTCAACTTGTATGCACGACTGGGTGTTTAAGGTTAGCGATTTGTCGTATTATCTGGCTGTGGTTGCAAATGAAAAATACAATTACTTTACTCTGCAAGTTACAAATTTGTGTTTTAAAATCTACGTGTGCTTTTTTTTATAGGGCCCCTTTATAACATCATTCTACAGGGCCCGCACTAGCACTGACTGGGAATCTGTATAAATGTTTGCATCATCAAAGAGCCGGACGCTTAAGTGGTTCGGAAATGTAACCGTTGGAATTTGAACAGGGGGGTGCATGGAACAGACGCCAGGTACACAAGTTCCAGTTCAAGTGAATTTATTACGTATAGCCCTGTGAGCCATTCGGCTCTTGAATCACAGTTGGCAACACAGGGTGAGAAAGCGTGGGAAGTCTGCGAGAATCGAGGCACAAGTGGAATAAAATTGCGAGAGAGAGATAAAAAACACCCGACCCTAAACGTGAGCAATGACAACTCGCTTAACCAAACACACCGTGTTGTTTTTTGTTGCTTTGTTCAACTGTGTTTAGTTATAGATTTTTATTTTATTTTATTTCCACCCCCACCCCCTGTACGTGCGGACTAAAAAATAATCATCGCCGCCTCTTTATTTGCCGTTGCTGGGAGGGTCGCGGCGTTGGGGATGTTGCAATAATTTGGCTTTACGAGGCCCGCTACAATTACCAGCGTAGGCTAAAGTGTGGCGCCCTTCTCAAATGTAAAAGGTTATTTGTGTTCGAGCATTTTCCCCGCTACAATTGTCCTGCTGGTGGATGGAAGGCGAGGGGGGGGGGGGTCTGTGTTGGATTAACGTCAATTAGCTCGGAAAACGCACGGCAATTAGCGGTGTTTTCATGGGGAGAGTGGCGGCGGCGGCGGTGATGGTGGTAGCGAGATGAGGTGTTGGGGTGGTGGAAGGCCTCGTCCCATCACGCGAATGCCCCCACTGTGGCAGGATGCTGTATAACTACGGGCAGATTCAGTTTGGGGGTGGGGGACGGGGGGGGGGCAGGTATGGGCGGAGTTTGTGGGGGAGGGCAACGTACCTTGGCCTACTCTTCCACATTGTCCACACATCTCGGAAGCTGTGGAAGGAGCCACACTCTATCCCACAACTTGTGAACTGCCGATCGACTGGTTGTGGGTGAGCCCATTTATTTATACCGCTGGCTGGACAGAGGCGTCGGGGTGAGGGGGGGTGAGGGGGGGGGGGGTGTGGCAGGGGGATTTAAGAAACTTGCCGCCCCATTGTTTCAACTAACCGATGGCCTCTGGATTGCAAGTCCAGTGTGCTCACCACTACACTACTGTGGCAGCATCCCGTAGTTCTAGATTTGAAGCTTTCGTGACTGCAAGGATTAATATTCTTGGGTTTTTTCGGTAAAGTCACGTAGGTAATTTTTTTTTATAATTTATTTTATTTTACTTTTATTAATTTTAATTTTTTACCTACGTGACTTTACCGAAAAAACCCAAGAATAAGCATCCCGTAGGACAGTGAGTGGTTCTTAACCTTGTGCCGACCGCTTTTGTTCTCAATCGTAAAAAAAAATGTGAATAAATACATAGGGGTTTGATGAAACACAGTAGTTGTGCTTGCTTAATTTGTGTTTTCGATGATTCACCTTCGAAAAAAATATCTGGTCATGTGTCGCACAAAATTTGCCGGCTCATCTGACGGAAGATTTTCTTTAAAGAAAAAAAGGCGAGACGAGGCCGCGTTAGTTTTGCCCGAGGAATACGCAGACTTCCGACGTGAGAACGCGCGTGCAGGCTCCGCACACTGGCGGCAGACGGCTCTGCGCGGGGACATACACTCAATCACCGTACGCCGATTTGTTTTTGTTTTGAAGCTTGTTCCTGAAAGCAATCTGTCTCTGCGGTGGCCGGGGCCAGCTGAGAAAGCGGAAGCAGGGGGGGGGGACACCACATTGCATTTACAGCCGCATGCGTTTGCGTGGACATAATCAAAATATTTGGCTTTTGTCAACGTAACACTTTTTTACTGATTGGCCGTGTCGGGTGGTGGAGGGTTACGACACATTCATAAATAACGCGATCTAAACCCAAAAACGTTGATTATGAATAATATTGGTCGCGAAAGCCTACGTGTTAAACTGATTATGAATAATCAGAATATGTATTTATACTGGAGGAATCCGATGAGCTATGAAGCTCTTTTTCACAAATGTCCTGTAAAGGGGCCCGGCCAGAACGTTACAACAACGAACAATACAAGAACACAATAGTGGTGCAAAATATAGGAAAGGTAATGATTTGTTTTATATATGTACAATTAAAACTAAACTATGTTTTTTTTTTCTTGCCAGGTAAGGCCCACTGAGCAATTAGCCTCTTTTTTCAGAAGCGACCTGGCTTTCACAAATGACAGCTCAATGGAAGTGGCTTTTATCGTCTGTGCGTGGGACAGCACCACTCGCCCTGTGATTTGATTTCCTTTTTTTTTCCTTTTCGAGGCCACGCGAGAATGTCAAAGGGGGGGGGGGACAGATAATAAATAAACGAAACGGCTGCACCCGCGTGAACCCACCGCCAATGTGAAATCCAGGTGACGTGTTCTGTTCACACGCCGTACCCTGAGCGCGCGCCAGGGGCCACGTGCTGATAGCCCAAGAGTTGTTTTGGGTTTTGGGCCACAGACTCAGAATACTAGAAACGAACTGCGAACAAACATTTCCACCTATATATTTACCTAGTCTCTGACCGGCGCTCCCCACATCGTGGGCAGACACCTGCACCGCACTTCGCACCGTGTGTCGATTATCGCCAGCGGATCTTTTTTGGCTCGTGCACGATTTTTTTTTTTGGGGGGGGGGGGGGGGACTTTGGCCACAGTTACTGCCGCAAAAGTTCAGAGCGAACTTACGCGGAGTGGCGTGAAGGAAGCGTGGCTTCCGCGTGGCACGGCAGCCAAAATGTTTGGAGAATATTCGGCAGCAGTAGCAGACAATAACAACATACTACGACGTTTCGATTGCAACACAAGCAATCGTCATCAGGTATAAAAGAAATAGCAACAAAAATCTTTCTTTTATACCTGATGATGATTGCTTGTGTTGCAATCGAAACGTCGTAGTATGCTATTATTTAATTTATTATTTTATCTTCATACGTGACTTTACCGAAAGAACCAAAGAATAATTCCTGCAGTCACGAAAGCTCCAAAATTAAGATTGAGACAATAACAATTTATGCAGACGAGTCTCCACCAAGTGTCTGGATGGTTGGCAGGGTTTTCTTGTTTTTGGCAGTTTAAGGATTGTCTCAATGACACACGCATTGCGCTGTGCACACAGCCACCTGGGTTCGATTCCCAGCTATGGCTAATGTGAGTGGGCAGTGAAAATATGAACCGGTCCTGGGCCTGACCCACATGGTAAACAAAAAAAAAAAATCTGCAATGTGGCAACTTGGCAGCTTCCTGAACATCCTGGACATCTGT